ATCTTGAGTTTGAGTCCATCGATGCTGCCACCTGGCCAGTCCATCTCCCTGGGAGTCTTCCTCTTTTTCTCTGACCCTCCACCTTACCAAACATGATGTCCTTCTCCAGTGACTGGTCCCTCCTGATCATATGTCCAAAGTATGAGACCAAGTTTGGCCATCTTGGCCTCCAAGGAGCACTCTGGCTGCACTTCTTCCAAAACGTATCTATCAGTTCTTTGGCAGCCCATAGCACTTGGAATATTCTCCTCCAACACCATAACTCAAAAGCATCAATTCTTCTACGGTCTTCCTTATTCACTGTCCAGCTTTCATATATATATGAGGTTATTGAAAATACCATGGCTCGGGTCAGGTGCACCTTAGTCCTCAAGTTGACATCTTTGCTCTTCAACAACATTAGAGCTCAAGATGTTCTGATAAATCACACTATTGTTCATCGCTGCCTCTCCAGAACTTAGCACATTATTTGGTTTACAGTATGAATGCCAAAAAATTTTGTAAACTTTGCTCAGGGCCATATTCAACTTCATGTTGTTCATGTTCAAAATGGTATTGTAAAAGCAGGAGTCAGTGATATATATCTCTCTTTTTTCTAGTTCAGACCATGATCGGCTTCATACCTTGGTTACCGAACACTGTTTTCCGGTAGGTCGTTATCCTCCTTAGAACTGGGGGGCTCCTGAATGAGCAGATTCTAGACATTGCCTCTGGTTGTTTTTTGTTTTTTTTAGGAAGGTTCCGTTTTGAGAATGCAGGCCCAGGTTTCAGTTGCATTATTTAATGATAAACTTGATACAAACTCTGGTAAGGGTCATTGTAGCAAATGGGGAAAAAAGAAGTCTAGCAGTAAGTAGTTCTGAAGCCACATGGTACAGATCCTGAGGTCAGGGTATGAGCTACATTAAGCTAGACGTATACATGCTTGGTGGTGGTAGTGATGTGCCACCTAGTCGGTTCCAATTCATAACCACCTATATGAATCAGAACCGACTCTATGGCACATCACCACCACCACCATAGGATTTCTTAGGCTGTAAATCTTTACAAAGCAGAAAGCCTCATTTTTCTCCCATGGAGTGACTGGTAGATTCAAACTGCTGACCCTGCAGTTAGCATCCAAGATGGTCAGTTACTACACTACAACTCTATACATGCATATAGTGAAATAAAGTTTTTAACAAAAATTCATGAGGCTTATAAGGAGCTCTGGTAGAGTAGTGGCTTATGAGCTGGACTGCTATCTGCAGATCAGCAGATCAAATCTACCAGCCTCTTCATGTAAGAAAGATGAGGCTTTCTGTTCCCCTGAAGATTTATAGCCTCGGAAATCATACAGGGTTGCTCCAAGTTGGAACCTATTCAATGTCACACCACCACCATAAAGGCTTACATTGTATGCTAACTGTGGTGTTATATACTCTTGAGAGAACAGCAAAGAATGAAGACACTTTGGTTTCGTTAGAGGTTTCAGGATAAGAACTTGAGTTTCTATTAATTCAGCCTAATCTCTCCAGAGAGACAAGTACAGCTAGCTAATTTAGTCTTAGCAGTTTAGTCTTTATTCCCCTGTAAAATTTTTTACATTTCATTACTAAAAAGTGAAAGGAGCTCTTGTAGCATAGTGGTTATGAGTCAGGCTGCTAACCTCGAGGTCATCAGTTCGAAACTACCAGCTGTTCCGTGGGAGAAAGATGAGGCTTTCTGTTCCCATAAAGATTTACAGCCTCAGAAATCCTATGCCGGGTCCATGGCACTGACTCCATGGCACATAACCATCACCACCACCACTAAAAGGTGAGAGAGAAAAAAAAATATGAGGGGGCTTTAAAAGGTTTGTGATCCCCCACATGTGATCAAAAGAAATACATGCAATAATTAGTAGATTATGAAACTATGTGGGAGGGATAGTAGACTGACAGTTTAAAATGTGGTTTTAATTAATTTGGAGAAGTATCCTTAAGAGCTATGATTACATTGTAATGAAGCAAAGTATATGATTTGTTGATGGTAAAACTGATGATCTTCTCTGTAAACCTTCATTCATTTCAAAAAACCATAAAAAGTTTAAAAGAAAAAAAAGGTGTTATGATTTAGATGAAAAGAGAGTTGTCCTGAGGTATATTCCAGATAAGTTTGAGCAGTAGTTTAGTTTAAAGCTTGGCAGGTCAGAGAAGAAGGCAAATGAGGGAAAATGTTGCATATTGGCTGTAGTATTGCAAAAAGTCAGAGCAGATGCAACAGGACCTGCTTCACTACAAGGAGGGAAAACCCCAGTTAAACTTTCTTTTTTTTTAAGAGTGAAAATTGGATGTTTATTGTCTGAAAACTTTCATACATTTTTAAAGGCTCTTTTAGCCTTTAAGGAGCCCTAGTGGTGCTGTGGATTTAAACTTTTGTTTTCTTTGCCTTCAGGATATGGTCTGGGACATCAAATATAAGACTGTCCGCTGGAGCTTCGTGGAATCTTTAGAGCCACCTCAGGTGGTTCAGGTTCGTTGCTCAAGCCTGGTGAAGCAGAGCAATATGTATGGCCAGGTCACCGTCCGCATGCACACCCGGCAGGTACAGGGACCATCTGCTCTCCTGCCACCTTTCTTTCTCTCTTGGGGGTGGGCACCTCCCCCGGTAAGTCCTAAGGAAAGGTTTACCATAGCATTCCCTGCTCTGTCACTTTCCCCTTCCCACCTCTGGATGTTAGCTCTGCTAAGACACATTGTGGAGGTGAGTCGTTTCACACGCACACATGCACACACACACACACACACACACACACACACACACACCATTCCTCCATCCCCATTAAGAAAGAACTAAGAGTGAAGACTCAGTAGTTGATCATTTAGTCCGCATTTAGAATTTTGAAACATTTTTTCCCCATCCATTGAAGTGTTTTGTTATGGTTGTTTCATTATTGCTTGGCAAAAAATAAAAACTCCACAAGAACACCCAAACTTGAAGACAGTACCCATTTGTCCTAGCCTCGATGGTTTGATAATCAGAACTCGGACTAGAGGAAGACTACAAAAACAAAAAAAAAATTTTTTGGATAAAGCAAACAAGGATAAATTGCTACAATTTGATGAACCTGACCTATACTCAGAGAGGTAGTTACTCTAAATACCAACAGAGAGGGAAGTAGTCTTCACATCAAGTATCAATGTTATCCCCTCTGTATACAGGGTAGATAGGGATGGGCAACTTAGACATTGACTACCTAAAATAAAGGGGCGATGAAGGCACAAAGTGACTGGCTTACAAGGTTTCAAGAGGGAATTTAGTTTAAGAGTATGGGGGGAAAGAAAGAGTCCCTACTGAATAGATTTCATCTTGTTTAGATGGGTCTGGTGAAAAGAGATGAGGATAAGATTCGTGTGATTCAGTAGTGAATAATTGTTATCATGATTAATTAATTGTGACTGTCACAATTGTAAAGGTAGAAGTTTTATAACAAAAACAGGGGAGTGGTTAATCTTACAGTCCAGAAACAGAGGACCCTAGGACCATCAAGGGAGAAGTGCACAAGCAGAATGCAGGACCTTATCCAGAGAAGCAACTACGCCAGAGATCAAGGCAGAGATGGGGGCATGGAGAGGGGTAGCGGCTGAGGACTTTAGATTCATGGGAAGAGAGGGACTGAGAGCTGGTGTCCAGGAGGCAGACTTGCAGAATGTGCCCTTTGGATATGTAAATTATTATATATGCCTGAGTGGTTGTTTTTTTTTTTAAATCTAAAATGGATAGAGAAATACTGTGAACTGATGGTACCTGGAGGGGATTGTAATCATTGTATTGAAACAAGGTATATGATTTGTTGAATGTAAAACTGATGATCTGCCCTGTAAACTTTCACTCAATCCACAATAAAAACCTTTTAAAAAAAAAACAAAAAAAACCCTCTCAACGCAAACCCCCTTCCAAGACTAAGACTCAACGGAAATGCACGCTCTGATTGGTGACCACACACATCACCAATGGGGGGAAGTGGGGTAAAAGCAGCAATGAAGTGGCAAGCTAAGCCCTACAATGTTCAGTGGACTTCTGTGGACCCAGT